AGATATCAGCCAAAAAGAGCGAAAACACGGTTTTTGGGGGATGGTGGGGTGGCTGGAGCCTTTAGCACAGGGTCTGGGGGGTGGGATTTTTAATAGGTTGTTTCTGACACCTAACTGAACATATTCCGCCATTTTTTTCTTTTCCACCTCAAAATGTCCAGTTAGATGTCTTTATCGCCTAGACTATAATATTATACATATCCAAAGATTTTTACATATGCAAAATTTGAACGAGTCGAGCCGTTATCTCGGAAAATTGCCAACGCACGCACGCATACACGTACTTACATCCATACAGACGGAAAAAAAATCGCGAAATTCGAGTGGCGTTTGCATCTTTGTTGTGTGCTCTTTTTGTAAAAAAAAAATTCTACATTAGAAAAGTAACTTTTTCGACAACAGCCATAGCACGTTGAAAACACTAGTTCTCGTCCGATCACGATTTTATTTTATGTCACAAGGCAACACATCATTCATAATAGTAATTCCTAATTAGAATTAATTTCGTCTTGCCGAAAGAAAATAATATTTTATTTTTTTAACTTTGACATTTTTTTCTCAGTTTTTTTGTGATAAAACCTGGCACAATTTTTATAGGTATTTTTATTGATTTAATAGATTATCACCCGCGACTTCGTACCTACGCTGGATATAGACGGACATATGATAACGGACACCCAGCGTACAGAATGTAAAAATGTATCAACATGGTACCGTACGACGGAAGCAACTTGCATATGTATCGATCGGTATGCGGAATAGCAGGGTGCGATATCAAAAAAGTTCAAAAATCTTATAATCGGATCAGGCCCGATTGTGAATGTAAACCAACTAGGGAAACACAGAGACATAAAAAATTTCATCAAAGTCCATCCAGCCGTTTAGGAATTCTGCCACAAACACACGTACGGAAGAATTTTATATATAAGATTTGTGACATTTATATTTGTCTAGTCCACATATTTACACGTTTTCAAAAATCGGGACGATGAAGCTCTTGCAGCACAGTTACTTTATCCTCGTTATTTTCTGACAAGTTCCGTATGACAAATCAGTTTGTTGGGATAGCTGTCCCAGTGGATTTTGCGGGCTTTGTTCAAGACGAGCACGCACATCTTCTACTACCGCCTCGTTAGCAACTATTGGGCTATCAGGAGATTTCCTTCATATAACGTCAAATCGCTTAACTACACGAAGAATGTGTAATCAACGACATGTTCATGCCTCTCGAAATTCCTCCATGCACATGCAAGTCGAGTGCGTCCAAACTCCGTTTCCGTGTTTACTTCCGATACGGAAATAAGGCTGCAAAGGCAGCTCATTTTCTTCCAAAGTAAAAGGCATGTCGCTTGGGTAAGCTATTACGGAATCTGATGAACCGGCGATTGCAATCATTTTTGGTAACCAACGATGTTTCCGATGAAAAAACCAAAGCCATGCATTTTTGTAGGTTCGGTAAACACCATTACGATCCTATCATGTATTTGAACGGTCAAATAATCACTGTACTCAGTGACTCACCTTTGACAGGGAATAAAAAAAATTAAGCACTTGGAGAACCTTCTAACATCAAGTAGGAAATCGTTATACGTGCTAAGAGTACTCGCACACCTCAAATGGGAGGCTAAATCTTTTGTTGATGTATATAAGGCATTGATCCTGTCACGCATTGACTGTGGATGCTTACTTACTTAAAAAAAGGACTTTATCGGACACGAAATATAAACATAACAAGGGGAAGAAAGGAAAACAACATGATAGTGTCCAAAGGGGGAAGTTTAGGTGTGGAAAACCCTCACCTACTCTTCCACTTAACCCTTTACGTTATTTATACAATCTTATTTACAAGGCAAGCCTAAATATAAAACGAGCATGGAAACAAAGGATGTAGTGTAATATGCAAGATAAATAAACAATAATTTCATACTAATGTAATAAACCAAATTTTTAAATTCGTCGCTTTCATTCTCTGCGAGAAATCCTTGTACCGTCCGTAATGTAATAAAGAGGTAAAGAGTTACATAATTATATTACTAATTACATAATAAAACGATCTTTCATACATCATAGATTTGTTGATGTTAATAATGTGAACATCGGTGCGAAAGGTTATTTTATTATACAGGTAGGAAGGCGATTTAAAGGTAACAACTTTATGAATTAAGACCGAGGCATGAAGGAAACGTCTGTTATTTATATTAAGCCAGGAAACCTCATTTAACTTATGTGAAATAGGAAAGTTTCTTATCATCCCAAAGATAAGACGTAGACATGAGTTCTGGACGATTTGCACTCTTTTAGATATATGTTTCTTGAGAAAAGGACTGTAAACAGTGGCGCAAAACATGAAATGAATGAATGAATGAAAAAAATTGCTGTAGCTAGCAGAAATATCATCACCCGCACACCTGCGCATGCGCGTTCTACTCAAACGCTTTTCAGCACTTCCTAGTTCCTTTATGTCTAGAATATGTGTACCAATTTTGGTTCCAATTGGTTCAGACATTTAGCCCGAAATGAGAGTTTGACACACTTGCGTATGCGCGATTCTGTCCCAAAGCTTTTCAGCTTTCTTTTATATCCAAGAATATGTGTACTAAATTTGGTTCCAATCGATTCAGCCGTTTAGCCGGAAATAAGAACACAGACAGACAGCAGACTGACCGACGTAATAGAGATTTAGTTGAATTCGGATTCCTGATGCTTCAAAACGTGTATTTCCGTCAAAAATGTGGTGGTGGAGTGGGGTTCACTTTTTACCCCAATGCAATACTTAAGCTCACAAACATGCGGGTGGTAAAAAGATTGTTGAAAGGGGTGACAAGAGACAGTAAAAATAGGCAATGAGCAAGTCATACGACTTGAAAAACGCCCATATCTGGTTATAAGTCGTGTAAAAATCTTTTAAAGTAACGCGCTTTCCATTTTTCTGCAAAATACAAAATTGGAAATGATTCGGGATAAGGATTAGATACAGTTTGCGTTATGAAATTAGGCAAACAGGTCAATGAACCGTACAATGGAAAAATGGACTAGCATCTGGAGAAGTGCGATAACACACATCAATAGCTAAACTTAATCCTTGCCGGATTTAATCCTTACATTATTAGGATTAGCGGCAGAAAGTCAAGCTAGTTGCCTACGGGTTTTAATTGAGAATTTCGGTTAAAGAATGCATTGATTAGTCGATCAAGAAATAAAAAGCCGCGTCGTGACGCATTTTCGGCAATCGCTAATCACGTAGCGAAAGCGTAAGCAACGGAAGGAAGTGGATGAGCGATGCGAACAACTGAACGGATTAGAGCGATACATTTGCAGTATACTCGCGAATAGAGCTATGGATCGAAGGGGTTCTAAGGCCGGAAAGAGATAAACGTTTGACAGCAGAGGAGTGCGAGCAGATTACCAACTGTGTGATAGTGCACATCCGCCTTCTAACCGATATTCATTAAGCCGGGCTTCTAAAACGCTTGTTGCATTTGTGTTGACCTTGCCTTACAATTCTTACGGTCATCCCTTTTCCCATAGATTTTGTTTGGTATTTATTACAGTTTGCAAAATTTCATTTTCCAATACACCATTAGGAAAGTTTTATCAATAAATACCTCTTGAAACGATTGCACACACTACGAAACGTAGAATGACCTCAAAAGGGCGAACGAGATCTAAAGCTTTTGTGCTAGTATTACTTAAGGAATAATCTCTAATAAGTGGTCGAACAAAACTTGGAGCGGTAAATCGCGCAAAAACTCTTTCGTGAGGTTTAACTGGTGCGCGCTAAATAGTTGTTGACGTAATCTCGATTGTGGTAGCGATTGAGAGTTATTCAAAGTTCCCTCAAACACGGAAAATGACAATCGGGCTCAGCGAGGTATAGTAAAATACGTTTTAACATGTTTATTTTAATAACCTCTTATACGCACCCCTTAAAGTGATCGTGGGGAGTTTGTGAAAAGAAGAGCGTAGATGTTATTTAATGCGGTCAAGTTAGTAGTCATTCTCGGATAGTTATTAGTGTCGGTGGTATTATTTATAAGGTTGCATTATTGATCAAGCGGGCGCGAACAAAGGGCCGGAAGGCAATATGAACCCGAGTTAAGACGTTGGTCAGCTCGCCTGGATTAGAGTCCGTAGGATTAGCGACTGCTGGACTATACACAGCGTGGTAAGCCGGTGGAATTACGTCCGGGTTGGATCCGGCGGGCCGCTTACGAACTGTCCCCGAGATTTAGAGTGGAATTCGGGTTTACCGCATCTGCATCGTAAGACCGGTCAAGACGCTAACCTAATAACAAAAATAAATCCCGAGCTTAGAAATTAATTCTGCAGCTTAATTCTTGTGACGTCGCACACATAGTTCTTTGTATGGCAGCCGTCTAAGTAAGCTCAAGTCGAGCCAACTAATCCTTAAGACGCAGAGCTAGGTCTGGGTTGCTCCAGTTAAAGCTCCGTAATATGCAGAAACCTTCTTAACCTAACAAGATTAGCATAGACAAGCGTGCGCGGCCAGCAAGCTTAATACCTGCCTGTAGAAGTTCATTGTGCTAATGGTAGCGCTAACTCAGCATCTTTTCAAAGTTACGCAATAAAAGATACAAGCAACCGCTAGTTTGTTCCAGCAAAAGATTTTGTCGTTTTTCAACTCAGAAAGGAAATGAAGAAATCTTCGGCAGCGAGCAACGTTAAATGTCATCTCTATGCTGCTATCAATTGATCTGTCTGTCTTTCTTATCTCTGGATACTTTTCCGCTTTACACGTTTCCATTAAATTCGTAGTGACTGAAAAGATTTTGTATTTCGAATATCGCGGATCCGCCACGTTGCCCTCGGGTTCGGAGCCGCTTAGGTCGAAGTATTTATCTACTCATCTTCGCGTAAATCTTAGAGCATCGTTTAGCGGGCACGTGACAGCTACCGGATCATTCAGACATTTCGCACTTTCCATTATACTTTAACAACCCTCGCGTTAATCGCTAACGACAAACCATGCATTCTTTCAGGAAAATCCTTGCCAGTACACTGCGTGGTGGAAGCCGTATCGACGATTGATGAATCGCGCATAACTAATCAAGGGTTATGGAAGCGGCGCCCGTTAATTGAGACTGATAGTTATGTGATCATACCCGCCGCAACCCCGTTTCAGGGATTGGTACAGGCAGCTCTGTTGCGTTTGGGTTACTCCGCCGACAGTGCAGCCACAGCAAGAGGATCGGTTATTTTAAAAAACTGGAAAGCTTTAAGCGTCGATCAAATCTCAGACGACCCCCTGGTTACAGTCGGTGATATTTTAGGAGAATTGACGGCCGTGGCGACGCTCCGCATCCAAGTAATTCGAAGTCGATCTGCCGTATTTGCGGACATCAAAGAAAAATTACTCCGCTTCTTTTTAACACAATCTCAGGGACTTCTCGTATCTGCCGGCTGTCCAATCGACGAGGTACGTATTTACTTATTTATGCAGAAGTAAAATTCGCTTATTAAGTGTACGTCTTGCTTAAGAAATGGATAGGAACGAATGTATTAAGGGTGCAGAGAATAGCAGTAACCTCGCTTTTAATAAGATTATGTAGAATTATTTTATGGTATTAATGAGATCAAAAGCCTTCTACATCCAGCAATGCTGAGCGGATCTGGGGCCTTGTGCTTTCATTGTGTTGCTTCTATTCTCAAATTGTTGATATACTGAACTGCTACTTCTTCTGCACATAAACCGATATAAAATGTATAGGGATTTTAGATTAATTACGTTAATTCTCGTTTCATTTTTTATCGATCTCCCTCTGTTACAGCTTATTTTATCGCAGATATGCCGTACTAACTTCGGAAACGACGCCCCGTCAACCGAGCTCTCAGAAGAGTGCCGCCGTAAGTTTGATCAGTGGTGGTCGGCGCAATTTTGTCCTTTATCGCCAAGTAGCCGAGTCCCACCTGTTACCTCATATACCAACTTGTATCCCGTTTCGTTGCACTCCTCAAAATCACTAGACCGTCCCGTGCCCGACCCCTCTCACCCCGCTATGCAAAACGTCCACAGTCAATTTCCCACCCAAAAAACTCGAATGCGTACTAGCTTCGATCCCGAACTTGAACTACCGAAACTGCAAAGATGGTTTTCTGATAATCAACACCCTAGCCGGCAGCAAATTCAACAGTATGTCAAGGAGTTAAATAGCCTCGAATCGAGACGCGGCAGAAAACCTCTGGATGTCAATAACGTGGTATATTGGTTCAAAAACGCCAGAGCCGCACAAAAACGGGCCGAAATTCGAAATGTTACCCCAGCGTTAACGTGTCACATGTCGGTGAATGGCTACAACGACCACAGTCCCAACAATGGTTCCAACTTGCTAATGACCGATTGCTACATAAACTCTGATCCGCACCTAAAAAACAACCTTCCGACTCCCTACAGACGAGGTTTTCATACCACTCGTATGTCCGATGAACTTTCGAATGCAACCTCCGATTTAGAGGAAGAAGACATCATCGACAGTCAGCCACACAGCCCAATAGGTCCCCTTTCCTTAACTACGACGAACAAACGCGATCCAAAGGAGTGTAGCTCACGTTCAGTTAGCCCCTCGCACGGAATACAAGTAAGTAAAAACTCGGTCACAACTTCAATGAGCTCATAACTAAATTTAGGTCGACAGTACGAAGCAAGAACCGAAAGACGAACCTACAAGTTACCAATCGCCTAGTAACCACTCGCACTCAAACAGGATGCATATGTCCGATGGTGAGGATGGGCCAAACGAAGATGCACGAAATCGTATAAACAACCGTATCAACCACTCTCCTCCAGATCGTAGCCTTTCACAAGCTTACTGTGGATCACCGGAATTCGAAAGACACCTGCAGAATCGCGCGCCAAACGATGGACTGGAAAGGTTAACCACTGGCTTTCCGTTGGTCCCAAATTCAATGTTTAGCCAAAGTATTATGTACATGAGCCACTACATTCCCGGCTTATCACACGCTGCCACGTCACCCAATAGTTCAAATGTTCTAGGAATGTCAGCGGACGAACGTAGAAAACGTAATAGAACCTTTATAGATCCCGTCACTGAAGTACCAAGGCTAGAGCAGTGGTTTTCACTTAACACCCATCCTTCCCACAATCTCATTTTGAAATACACTGAAGAACTAAATTGTATGGCTTATCGACAAAAATTTCCCCGTTTAGAACCTAAAAATGTTCAATTTTGGTTTAAAAATCGTCGCGCTAAATGTAAAAGGCTTAAAATGTCTCTTTTTGATAATCAGCAATCTGTACATTATCATCCAGCTGATAGAGAATAAATATTCTTCGTACTTATGTTATACTTGATATTTGCCAAAGAAATTGTAAGTCTTTTTTAAGTAATATGTGTGAAATTTGTAAAGTAGTGAGAATACGTTTTGGTGATCCTGTTATGAATTCGGATGCTGTACAAATATATAAAGCGTCATTGTTACATGTGTAGTTGTAACCGAATTGTATGCCAATATAATTTGTATTTAATACAAGCTCCTGTGTTTTATTCTCAGTCACTGACCTTTTTAACTAAGCATTAGGTACAGTTTTAATAAAATAAACTCCCCACTTTGTCCCATTTATCCAAAGTGAAGGGTAGATAGAAATACAATCAACCGACTATACGGCCGGTGATATATCGAAACACCCGCTTAAAATAGACTTGCACAGCGTCTTTCAGATGTCCGCCTCTCAATTCATTAGATCTGATACGTAACAATGTAAGGGTGTGCGACAATGAGCTCGTCAACGAACAAGTTTCCAAGTCAACAGGAAACCAGAGGCAACCAATGATTATCTCTTGCCGGTCTTCAGATAACGCATATATATATGTATCTGTACCAATAGGTATAATGTGGGACAAGTTTGGAGTTATCTACAAAACGCAAACAAATAATCCAGATAATAATACTTCTTCCAGGTATTTAGACTTTTAAGTTAAAACATTTTTAATTAAGAAAATCCGATTTGGCTCATTATCCTTGCTTGGAATGTAAAGACTATCTCGTACTTTCCGTTTGAAAACGGCAGGATCTGGAACAAAACATTTTAATGCGATACATAAAAGCACTATTCCTTAACGCAAATTTTACGCCCAAGTAATTTCTTAAATGTTTGAGTAGTACTTAAATAACATGCAAACAAGTGTAATTGGGATGTGCAGAAAGGGTGACTTTAGATTCGAGACTGCTAAGCTCAAGGGCTGCGTTTTGTCCTCGTCTTTGCTTTGTGATTTCTCTACAAAGCGTCAGTTACTTTATAAGTTACTATAGCGACGCAGCGAAAAAGGCTAATTATTTGCTGCAGTTGGTTAACAGATGAACGGATTGGTAGGTCTCATCTACACCTACCTACGTATAACCGGAAAAGAGATGTCGTTAAATTTTCGATTAATTAAAGATAAGGAATACAACGCCATATCAATTTTAAGTGGATTATACAATTTTCGTTTAGAACGCGTGGCACCGATATGTGAGGTTATACGATGAGAAGGCATGCAAGGAAATCCTTGCCGCATCTCTTGATCACGTTCTTAAAGAACCAAGTTGTGATCCGATTAACTTCGCGGTGCCACCGTCGCAATCTCGGTAATGATAAAAATGGCAATAAAAATTAGGGATAATGGAAGGGACAGATAGATATTCCACAGCGACGATGTCATCACCAGAGCTTGGGATAAGCGAGAATAAAATTAGGCGGTGTGATCGATTATAGAAACAAGTCTCAATTTGAATTTAAAATCATTTAAGTATTGACTTTGGTTGAAGCTTTCGCGTTTTTAGCTGGCTTATCTGGCGTAAGTGGAAAGTGCGGTTCTCATCCAATCCACTTAAGGAGCAGAGAAAACACGAAGCACGTGTTAACAGTAACGTTTCTCACGAGAGGCACTTTTTTTTATTAATTTAATCGCTCTCGTCGGGATTGAGAGAAAAAGCTGATTATTCTCTCTATACAGATATACGGATTAGGAGCACGTCGAAACTAGTGCACCGTGACGCCGGGGTGTAAAGACAAAACGTTGAGGATCTCGAACGTTCCATTCATATGGGGCGAACCTCTTTAAGCAAGGATACTGAATGCAGTAGGGTCGTCAAAACCTCAGTTTCTAAACATTACAATATTCCCAACGTCAATTGTGTATGTTTAAATCGGTGTGAATACCTTGTAGGTGCAAACTAATCCGGCATACCTACTCTGAACAAAAATAAATATCGTCGTTTAAACATGAGCGATTTTATGTAAATGTCAGAATGCGAAAATACAGATCGGGCGTCGTTTTAACGTCCCTATTACTCGTAACAGTTGGTTATCTAAATAATTCAACCGTGTATAACGAAAGTTGTATAAAATTATCTGTTAACCTCCTAAAGAAATAAAAGACGTTTCGAAAAAATGAACGTTTTGGACGAAACGATAACCCAGAATTTATTAAAATGAAATAAGAATGTGTCGTTATCAGGGTTGATTTGTCACCACACAGACCGCACCGGTAGGTTTCATTTTTGAGAATTAATTTCCTGCCAGCATTCTTTAAAAGGGGAGACAAGCGTACTGCATTTGAGCTAAACGCACATTGTTTGCTCTGCCAACTAATAAGAAAAACTGTAACTGCTACACCAAAGCGACTATCGGGAGTATATCTGCGGCAAGAAATTTAATTAAAATTCAATCAGAACGTAACAGGGCTGGCGTTGGCGTTTATCAGAGTGTTATCTCTCCGAAGCTCTTCCTAAGAAAACATTTTAAAATAGAAAATTGTCAGCACTTACGACGCCGCCAATAGAATAATGTGTCTTAATGGAAACGGCGAAATATGTTTATCAGATAAAAACGGTTTCCTTCGACCATTTGGCCGCCGATGTTTCGTAATTGTCATACAGCAAATATTTTCCGCCTTAATTTCCTTCGCATTGATAGCGTTTTCATACTTGTAGGTAATCGGACTTGACAAAACTGCTATTCTTGAGGGTTATTAGTGTATTAAATCTCATCGTAAAGGTCCTAACGTATACTGTTCACGACTATACTCTTTGAGAGTGGACACTCCCCTTTACTCCTGTTGAGATTTTCAAATTGGAATGGGAACGAGAGTCATTACTTGACTGAACGCTTCTGGCTTGATATAACGCCGAGGGCAGGTAAGTGATTCTCCAATTTTAAAAATAGGCACGTGCGCTATCTTTATATGTAGATATTTTGACTTTTTGACGTTTGTGGTACAAGTATAGGTACATTGTAAATAACTTGGATACGGAAAGCGTAAATGATTTAAACACTAAAATACTCTCGTAAATATACGTGTATAACAGGTTGTCGAGGCTAAGGGTTTAGAAACTGATGTGGTTTGTAGAGACTGCCCAGCCGTATATATATTGGACAAACTGGTCGTCCAGTCAAAACCAGATTTACAGAACACATCTCCTTAGTCAAAAACAACATACTTACACTTAACAATTCCCAATCAAAAATCTTCCTTTGCCCACCACATCCTTAGTTCAGAACATTCCTTTTATAATGAAGACTTTCAAATTTTACACTTTTATAATGAAAGTCTTAAGCTTCACTTTCTCGAAATGAAAGAGATCTAGGTACCAGTATTACAAGGAGAATCCTCAACACTCCCTCAATTTAAATAAGAATTTGCTATTTTCAAACATTTCTTAACCCTTGCTACTTTTGTCAGCTTTAGTTAACTCGCCTCTCCCATTTTGTAGTTTCGTGAGCCCCAATCTCTGTACAGAGTAGTTTGTATTACTAAAAACAAAGCCTAATTTTCATAAGGTATGTACTTTATAATTTTAAACATTACATTGTAATAGATTTTATAGCTAGAAGATGGCCATCGGTCGAAACTCGCTTTTTATGTCATATTAAATTAGTATGGGGAAGGTTTGACGTTTTAATTACTGATTATTCACTAGTATCACAGATAAAATACCCAATTATCTGTGCTAGTATACTGAGGGTAGCTGAGCGTACACTTCTAGCAGTTGCAGGGTTGGTCATAGATTATAAACATAATCTATCAACGAAATAACAATATTTTTGGCGTACCACAAAAGTTACAACCCTCGCGACCGAGGATTGCTATACATGTAAAGGTGAATTAAAAAAATTACGCAAGCCCAATGCGGTCCTACTAAGTCGAAGTGGTGCACCACAAAAACATTTTTTTGCTTCATTTTAGTATTCCTTTTTCGGAAATCAATTACAATACAGTTTTTTTTAAATTGCAGCTGATAATTAAAACTTTTGATTGAGAAGTCCGATCGAAAAAGTACGAATTGTTTTAGATTCTACGCACCAAAATTAATAAGAAAAAGTGTTTTCCCGAGAAATTTTGTTGTAGTCGATTTTTGGTAAAAAAGGAAGGTTATACACTGCCTTTTTTTGAGCCCCGAAAAAAAAATTGTCTCGGATCGACCCGGAAAAAAATTTTCTTATAGAATGTGGCCTGTAGAATCCATAATTTCAAACAGTTCCAAGATTGGGCTACTAGTTCAAAAGTTACAGCCCTTTGAATTTTCTTTCGAATTGGTTTCTAGTCTATAACTTTTGATTGAGAAGTCTGATCGAAAAAGTACGAATTGTTTTGGATTCTACGCACCAAAATTAATAAAAAAAAGTGTTTTCCCGAGAAATTTTGGTGCAGTCGATTTTTGGTAAAAAAGGAAGGTTATACACTGCCTTTTTTTGAGCCCGAAAAAAAAATTGTCTCAGATCGACCCGGAAAAAAAAATTTCTTATAGAATGTGGCCTGTAGAATCCATAATTTCAAACAGTTCCAAAATTGGGCTACTAGTTCAAAAGTTACAGCCCTTTGAATTTTCTTTCGAAATTGGTTTCTAGTCAGGGGCGAGCCAGGTGGAATTGCATAGGTTACGGGCCATGAAAGTATTAGTGTAGTAATGAAGGTGGCGGGTGGGTAGCTCTGCGGTGCACCACAAAAACATTTTTTGCTTCATTTTAAAGTACTCCTTTTTCGGAAATCAATTACAATACAGGTTTTTTTTTAAATTGCAGCTGATAATTAAAAGTAACAAAATATACAATCCAAACGAGGCGCGTCGCCTATCATTGTATTTCATCACTTTCATGCTACGACAAAAAATGATAAATTCATTGTAAAACAGTTCAATTAAAACAGAATTTTTAAATTTTTTAACAACCTAACATCAACCCCAATTAGAGAAACGTGTTAATAACTTATTAATAGTGCAAGAAACTAAATACAGCACATACTTATACATTTCCAATGGGCCATTATGACGTACAGGCCAGGTGGCAAACGCCACCCCCCCCCCGGGCCAGTCCGCCCCTGCATATGAGTAGGCCGTAATCATTTTCTGGGTTCTGGACGCAAGTAAACATAACCTCAATTATTTAGCAGTAACAAAGGTGTAATTTAGAGTAACGGATTTGACAAATAGCTCGTCGCTAGGATGGTGATAGCTTCTTCAAGTAA